AAATAAAAGTTTATCAAATAAAGTAATGTTACAACTAATCATGGATCCCTTTAAACAAATATTTACAAGCTACAAAAGTTAGTATATTACCGGTTAAAATATACAGACAACTACAGCCTCAAAACAGATTATTAACAGATTATTAACTAATAAAATCAGCTAATGGCTGAGCGGTTAGGGGAGTCGACCTTCAACGAGAGAGTTGGTGGTTCGATTCCACCACTGTTCAGTCATATGTTGAAGTGCCCTTTGGCAAGACACTGAACCCCACACTGCTAACGATGTGTGTATGAATGTGATTCAAGCACTGATTAGTCTCCATAGAATTATCTATGTAGATTAGCTTTGTAGAGAGACATAGAAGAGTGCTGTGAATGGGTGAATCAGTGCACRGTGTTGTAAAGTGCTTTGAGTAGCCTGGTTGGATAGGAAGGCACTTTATAAGTACAGTCCATTTAGCATTTATTAGGTTCTCTGTGCTACTTCACAACAAGTAGAACAGCAAGGAAGTAATATTGTGCATTAGGCACAATTACTTTAGACATTTAAATTATAAAACATGCTGTGGAGTTTTCTCTTTTAGCTGACACCACGTTTAAATTTTACACTGATGCTTATTAATTGTGACTATATTAAAATTTTATCCTCATAAATAAAAAACAAAAGCTGATCATGTACTGGTTTAAAGATCTATCTTGAAAGCAGGAAACAGACAGATTTGAAACAGACTGTGTACATGTACACGTGTTGATGCTCCTTATACATACGTGGACAAAATTGTGGGTACCCATCGTTTAATGAAAAAAAAACCCCACAATGGTCACAGAAATGACTTGAATTTGACAAAAGTAATAATAAATTAAAAAGTCTATGCAAATGCAAATGTTTGTCACCCTTTGAGTCCATTTTGGCTCAAACAACAACAGATGATGTAATCTGACACTGACGTTCCTTGAGCTTGAAGTTCACCTTTAATCTCCAAGTTAGGCTGGGCAATAAGCCGAAAAATAACCGATACTGACATTTATGACAATAACTGACGTCATTTTGACCATGTCTGTATTTTCGGTATTTAAAAAAATGAGGAAAAGAGAAACCTGCTTGTTTTCTGCTGCGGTCTCGTTAAAGCTGCCCAGTCTGATACAGGTTAGAGCAGACATAAGATTTTTTTCTTCTCTCTGCCACCTTTCATTTCATTTTTATTTGTATTTTCTTTTTATTGTACATAGA